TTCTTGGCCAATAGTAAATTAGAACCTGGTTGCAATTGTTAAAACAAAGCAGCCACTCCTCGGATGTCTCTTTTTCTTTCTCTATGGTATTGTTTTTGTTTGGACCTTTATTCCATTTTTCAGGGTTTCCTAAGCATCCTGAACTGTGTTTTCTTCTAGGATTTTCATCATAGAAGAGGGGGCTATATAAGGAGATATTTTAAAGAGGCTTTGCCTTATTTTTAGCTTGTTATTGATCTTCTTGGATTTGCTTTTATACTTTCAAAGTTATGTTTTTACCTAATTAGCATTTAAGATGCCTTTCTGAAATCCATGTAATTCTTGCTTCTTGATTTTGTCAGCTATGTGGAACTTGGTATCCAAACACTTTGTCCATATCTATAGCATATTCTATTACTGGCTTTGAATACTTTTATATGTCTTTTCTAATGAATAGCTTTTCTTATGTTAATGGCCATAGAAAAGTATTTTATTTGAATTTGTGAGTAATGAATGAAGAGATTTAGAACCAGTGCCTGAAGTTATAGCCATTGCAGCGCTTGGTAGCCCATTCACACTTACAATGGGTCACAGGGGTGCTGCAACTCCTTTCACCTGCCTACTATATAACCACAGTTATGGTCATATGTCGAGGACTACTACTCTTCCTCAATTGTAATATACATTAATGTGCTTGATATTTGTTACCCTTCACAAAAATCAAAATGCTTCTTTCCAAAATAGTACATTAAATGTGTAGTTAAAATGCTATAAAAATTAATATTCTTATGCAAATATACTTGAAATTATTAATAATTGATAAATATTTATTTCCTTGATATTGGTGAATGAGGAGAATTTTGTCCTTGAATAAAATAACATGACTTATTTCAGTCAGTTTGGTTCCCCCCCCTTTTATGATATTATATAAATTAAAATAATATTTTAGGCTCACTACACCTAGAATTGAACTATTTTGGAATATAGTTGGACATTCTTTAGCTGTATTTGCATGATGGTTATATTTACAGGAATGATAAATTTGATTTTAGTTACATAAGTTAAATAGCTGGTGCCAGTTTTCACATTTTAATCTAATTTTCAAGCAACTGTTTTTGATAAGATGAGAAATCTTTCTTCTCCAGCATAGGACTACTGGGAGCTGCATGTGTTTATGCCATTTTGATTGTATGGTATTTTAGTAGACACAGATCATCTTTCCTCCTGCTTTTTGGTTCTTTTACAGCCACTAGGCTCTAACTTAGTGTTTCTATGCAGTTGTGAAACCAACAATTTTGAGGACCATGCCCCTATGCAGGCAAGCAAAAAGAAAAAAGCTTTTTGACCAAACTCACTTGGTCATGGGTCGGCAACCCGCGGCTCCGGAGCCGCATGCGGCACTTTCAGCCATCTCCTGCAGCTCCCTGTCCTCAGCCACCATATGCAGTCTGGAAAAAAAAGTGGGACTAAAAAAGTTCAACCAATCAATTCAAACTTCTCACGAAGTTTGAATTGATTGGTTGAACTTCTTTGGTTTGTGGGACTGCTCACAAACCTCTTTCCTTCTTCGGATTGCACGTGGTGGCAACGGAGGAAGAGCCGGGAGGATTGCTAGAAAGGTGGTAGAACCTGGGTAAGGAGCCGCAGGTGGCCAGTCTCGGGATGCCTCTTCCCTGCCTGGCGGGTCTCCCGTCGCCCTGCTCCACTGCCACCTCTGTTAGTCCGGGGGGGTCGCTGGGGGTCTTGGTAGCTTCCCATCTCCGCACGCGCCTTTCGGCCATCTTGCGGGCAGCAGATCTCCGTGGCCTCTTTCGAGAGATTCCCTGTGGCGCCTACCTGGCCCTTTCCCCACCTGCCCTTTCCCCACCCCTTTGCTGTTCTCCTGTCGCCGCCTCTGCCCGTCGCGCTGAGCGAGGCCAGAGAGGTGGCGACGACCGGGCAGCCGCGCCCCTTCGCCATTCTGCCGCCGCCGCCTCTGCCCGTCGTGCTGAGCAAGGCCGGAGAGGTGGCGGCAACAGGGCAGCTGCGCCCCTTCGCCATCCTGACGCCGCTGCCTCTGCCCGTTGCGCTGAGCAAGGCCGGAGAGGTGGTGGCAACATGGCAGCTGCGCCCCTTCGCCATCCTGACGCCGCTGCCTCTGCCCGTCACGCTGAGCGAGGCCGGAGAGGCAGCGGTGACCAGGCAGCCGCGCCCCTTCACCGTTCTGCCGCCGCTGCCTCTGTCGTGATGAGCGAGGCCGGAAAGGCGGCGGCGACTGGGCAGCCGAGCCCCTTCACCGTCCTCCCGCTGCCGCGGGGCTCTCCACCACCCAGCCCCTCCTCAGTCCCATTGGTGGAGCCTTCCTTAGGCATGTCACGTGTCACAGTGTTGCAACTGGAGACTGAATGGCTCCGGCAATTGCAAAAAGCTTTAGCTTTAAATTAAACCTGTTTACCTTCAAAGAAAACTTTCTAAAAGCCATAGATAGACTCAATTAAAGGGGATAAAACTAATTACATTTGTTTAAAGGGATTAAACTTTCCCTGTTGTCTTTTTTCTCATTTCCCACCCAAACCACCACTTTTTATAGCCTCTCCTCCCCCCCACTTTTTCTTCAGTTCACCTCCATCGCCACTGCTTCCGGAAGCACCAATCAGCTGGAGCCCTGTCGGCTCCTGGGGCTTCTGCCGAGCCCAGACAGTCCTGCAGCTGCAGCTGCCTCTCCCTCAGGCTTGGATCGCTTTGGCTCATTCCCCTCCCCCACTATACTTCTCTAGGATGGTCGCATACCACCTGCCACGTGGCAAAGTACCACAAGTGGTATGTGTACCACTGGTTGAAAAGCCCTGCACTATACTAACTGCAATAGCTTCTGCTGTAGTGTAGAGCAATTTTTCAGCACCACCCACAATAATTCAATATTATTATTAGATTTTTATCCCACCTTTGTCATATTAACTCAGAGCTGTGACATTCCTAATGTGCTTTCTTCCTGTTTTTCTTACAATGGGTTGGGCTGAGAAAAAGTGACTGGCACAAAGTCACCCAGCCAGTTTTCATGCTTGTAGCAGACTCAGTACTTGGTTTCTAGGCCAATATTTTAACCACCGCACTAAATTGGCTCTTCAATAAACATCAGGTTACTGTTGCCTATGAATACCTTCTCCTTTTCTCAAGATGTTTCTTAGACATCTTGTCAGGAAAATTCTTCATATCCAACCAATCCATTAAAAAGAAAACATGCAATCATCAGACAGGTGGATTGAGGGCAGCAGAAGGAAGTGATGAAGTAGAAGAAGAAGAATTCTGCTTTACCAGCTGAATTTTGCTGTTTAGAAGAACAGTGGTCACACTCCAGATATGATCATTTTGTCAGAGCAATAGCAATATAACCTCATGACCTTCCTAGGAAAGGTGGTGGCTTTGCAGCTGCAGAGGATCCTTGATGAAACAAATTATCTAGACTCTTTATGGTCAGGTTTCATTACCGATCATGGGATAGAAATAGCATTGGTTGCACTTGTCAGTGATCTCTGGGGACAGCAGAATGAATCCATCCATCCTTGATCTCCTTGACCTCTGGTGGCTTTCAGTACTATCGACCATGGTGTCCTTTTGGACTGATTGCGGGACTTGGGACTGAGTGGTGCAGTGTTGCATTGGTTCAGTTCCTTTCTCTGTGGTCAATCGGTGTTGATAGGGGGTAAAAAGTCCAGCTCACAGCCACTCTTCTGAGATGCCAGAGAACTCTGTACTCTCTCTCTTTGTGCCTTTTTAATAGTGACATGAAACTGCTGGGTGAGATCATCCAATATGGAGTGAGATACCAATTTGCTGCTGATACTCAGATTTATGTCTCCACCTGGTGATCCAAGTGAAATTATGTCTGCTCTTTCACAGTGCCTGGAGGTTAAGTGGCCTAGATTGGGTAAAACAGGAGCCTAGATGGAGTGGCTGTGAGTATGTGGAGCCTTGGGATTTGGAGGTTTATTATTTTTAGTTCTGGACAGGGTGGCAGTACCCCAGACAGACCTGGTGCACAATTTGGGGGTTCTAGCCTTGTGACTCTTGTTCAAAGAGCAGATGTCTTTGTGGTTAGGAGAGCTTTTACACAACTTGGTGTTGTGCTCCAGTTGCACCTGGGGGTTTTATTCAATTTTTGTTTACACTAATATAAACATAGAGGGCTTGAGTGAATGAGACTGTATTCATCAAAGTTTAAAACTTCTCCTTAGCTCCATGTTTTCCTTTTTAAAGGTCTCATAAAGAGGTTGTGATCTGTGAAATAACTGTGAGAAGGAAAATTAAGGCTCTTCTTCCATATGAGCCCTGATACCTATACTATTCTAACACAAAATAAGAAAGGCAGCTATTTGCTAAGTTTTAATATGTAATTAAATTAATAATGTAATATGTAATTTAGCTCTATGTTCTGCAGTAACAAAGATGTACTGACTTGTTTTTTTACTTGATGTTTTAATATTAAAATGAATAATCACTGGTAAAGTTTTAAATTTATTTTTTTAAAAGTTCTTAGCATATGTATCTTCCTTCTCCTATAGAATAATAGTGAAAGATAGTCGCTCAAAGTATAAAAGTGAAATCATGACACACTTCAAGTCATTTAACTTATGGGGTGTTTTTATTATTATGTGTCTATATTTTACAGCACAATATCTAATAATTTTTATTCCCTGTCTTGTTTGAGGCAGGTAAGTAGCACTGTTTCATGAGATCCATGGTGGATTTTAATTTTGGGATTTGTTTGAAAAGTTCTACTTTTAACTGCTTATTATATGATTCTCAATAGTTTATCGCTTTAAGCAATAAAACTACACACAGACACACACACACACACACACACAAACAAATCTTCATTGTACAAATGTAAGTAACTCTATTTTTTTTCCTTTCTCTTTTTGATAAAAACTGAATCTGGCTTGTGTTATCAAATTACTGGAATTCCTTCCTTCCTGTGACATTTGGCTGTATTTTGCTTACTTATGGACATGTAAAATGATGGAAACATGTTGTTTACAAAGTAGCTGTAAGTATTCTTGTCTTTTCTAAAGGTAGATTTTCTTTAAAAAGAATGTTGCTTTTTTCTTGTGCTTAAATAGCGTATCTATCTTTAAGAAAATGGAGGGGGAAATGTACATACGTTCAGTAAAATTAATAAATATGTAGAAGATAGTAGGATTATTGAAACAATTTATTGATTTATAATTTTACTGGTGAGAAATGATAGTACTTACCAATCATAGAACTCTTCAGAAAGAGGCTGCAGCCTGTTCTGGTTCCAGATGATAGCATGTGTGCTATCTGAACGTAGGGTTTTTATTAGATACAATATTCCAAGCCAATGCTATATTGCATTTGGGGTCACATAGCATTCACTTATTTATCATGAACACTTATTAAGAATACAGCTTAATACTGAATATTCAAATATTAAAAATAACGAGACTGAAAGTTTTGCAAGAGTTTAGGTACAGTAGTTAGAATATGAGATACAAAGAAAATAGCCATTGTCATAGCTAGAGAATATGGTTCTTAAAAATAATATAAATTATATTAAAACATAAGTAACTTAACTTCACATGTTTTATCTTAGCAACAGAAGAATCTTGAAGGATATGTGGGGTTTGCAAATCTCCCCAATCAAGTTTATAGAAAATCTGTCAAGAGAGGATTTGAATTCACACTTATGGTAGTAGGTAAGTTACACTTTTCTAATTCCTTTATTTTTTTAGTTTAAAAATTTAAACTTAAGATTTGTTTATAAATCTGCATTATAAGTAGATACCCATACTGATGGAGTATTTATTTTATCTTCTAAAAACCAGTGCTTGATGGTCATTGCTGTAATGTAGAACAGTAAATAATAAAATTAATCTGGCATTGAAATTTGCAAACACAGTCCGTATTTAAAGAATAGAAGCTTACTCTTGTTTTATTTAGCAAATAATAAAAGACATTCAGTTTCTGATGGCAACTTGATTAACTAGCTATGCTTTCTGACATTTAAAATGTACCCTGAAGGATGGTCAGTATAGTTATGTAACTATTCAGCAGTGCTCTTCAGAAATGTTATGAATTGTTTGTCATTAGGCTTCAGTAATTAGTAGTATGTATTTAATATTCCAAATTATAAATGAGTTCAAGTAAACAAAGGGTAGCATTTGATAGAGATGAAAATAGGATTTAAAGGACTTGAAAAAAATGCATATAGATTTGCATAGTAAGTTTTTAGCTATGGTATTGTATGAAATAAACTTAAAAATTAATTTATACCAGTGATCCCCAACCTTTCCGGTTTTGTGGACTGGTGGAGGGGGGAGGGAAAGGGAATGGTTATGCATGGGCGGCAAGTGAGCATGTGCACAGCTTCATTTGTGCAAAGGCAGGCACATGTGCCTACCACTCACACAAATAGAGCTGTGCATGTGTGCTTACCCACCATTTCCACAGCCCGGCTCCAAAGGGGCCAAGGCCCAGTAGTGGGTCGAAGCCCGGAGGTTGGGGAACCCTGATTTAAACTACATAAGTTATTAATTGTAAAAGAATATGTAAGGAGTCAGAGGAGTATGAGAGACAGTATAGACTGTAATATGTATTATTTTTGTCTATATTCATTAAACTCTTGTAAGTTTCAGCATTACTTCTTCTGCTCATTGCAAAGGCATCTACATGAAAATTCATACAAAAAGTTTTAACTTATGATTGTTCATTCAACTCCTGCCTCAAGTTAACCCCCGTTGCAATGCGCCCAGTCACATGATCAAAATTTGGGCACTTTGCAGCATACCTGCCCTTACAATTCTGGAGGCAGTTCCCTGCCTATATCTACCCTCATCTCAGTCACTTGCCTGTCTCACTAGCACATGAAAGCTGCCGTACCTCTGGAGGAGTTAGCCTCCTCACTGGTTACTTCTCCTTACCCCACCATGCTAAGTAGGCATGGGCCCACCCCACCATATCCAGGAAGTCCAGGCTCTTTCTTGCCCCACCACACTCAGGTCCACTTACCTTTGACTTTTTCTATAACTGCTAACAGGTATACCCAGACTATGCAAGGTGCATTAGCGAATGCAGTTTTCTCCAGTATGACGAATGGAGAATCCACCAGTGGGTTAACTTCGTCTTCTGCCCGTAGACTAGTTGTCCAATTTTGCTCCGTCTCTCCTCCTGGGACCTCCCTTCCCCAGTCTTGACTAGTCTTGAGCCCGATTAGACTGAATTCTTGACTCCTGAAGTTATTCTTCTTTAAGGTCATATATTTCTGATATTTTGGTCAATCCGTAGGGGGGGGAGGAACTGCAAAGAACGAACGGCTGTTCGTTTGAGCCCTTTCTGCTGCTGGATCGCAGCTCAACCATGAGGCATGCCTGAGCCCAGCCGATCGCCGGACAAACAAGGAACCAGACGCCATTTTCCGGTCACCAAGTGTGACCCTGAACAAAGGGAGAGACAATCTCCTTCCCCCCCCAAACCAATCCTCCCACAGGGCTAGCCAGGATAGCCAAAGCAAATTCGGAATACATTAGCACAGCTGATCAGCGGGCAATTTAAACCTCCCGCAGATCAGACGGAAGCCGGTTATCCACGTGGGAACAATAGGGGGCTGGTGAGCTGCAGAGGAATATCACAGCTCTCAAGGCTCTTACCCTAAATCAACTAAAGACCTCAAAGGCTCCTGTTGTTTCCATTGCCTGAAGCCTGGGATTAGCTGGTCAGCAGAGGACTTTTAAACTCCACAGCTCCCTCCCAGAGTTTCCCTGAAACTCCGCGACTTCCTTGCAACTCATGCTGGCCGTATTCCACTGAATACAAGCGCTGGGGTTTTTTTGTTTTTTGGGGGGGCAGTCTCCAGGAAATACACTGAGGAAGGCACGAGAGAAACTTGGGTTCAGCCAATAACAACCTCAACTCCACCCAAGCTCAGTCCTTCTTCCTAGCCACATAGGAATAATAAAAAATAACAAATAATAATAATAATAATAATAATAATAATAATAATAATAATAATAATAATATAGTAGTAATTGAAGAGCACAAGACATAGATCAGCTCACAATTACCCTGAAACAGACCGGAATTGAAAATTATTCCAGTTAAGAATGGCAGATACCAGCACAGTTCAAACAGCGCAGGAACCTGTCACCACCAGCCCCCCTGCTCGTAAAAGACAGAGATCAACCAAGCAGGAGGTGGCTGGGAAGATCAAGGCCAAGGCAATATCGGCCAAAAGGCCTTCCAAAGCAGCGGATAGGGAGGCTAAGCAACATCACCAGGCTCTAGAGAGACAATTCTCCCGAGCCGAAAGGAGGCAAAACTCCACTGAAGATGAATTAGAGCCACCCAATTACAGGGAGGAGGAAATTTTTGGCACAAGGAAGCTCAGCCAGGAACCTCTGGAAACAGGCTGATACGGAACGGGAACGGCTCTCCCCTAAGCGAGGGGCCTGGAGATCTGGGTTCAGAAGCAGGCACCCGTCGCTCAGATAATCATGGAGCAATGTCTTCAGAGCACCTTCAATCCCTGATATCTCAGGCTGTCACACAGGCCATGGCCTCCTCAAGACACCATTGTTCCAGAACAAGGTCTGTGGCCTCTAGGGGTGGCTCCCGCTTTTCTCAAGAGGAGGCCTCTGTGTACCAAGACTCTATTTCCTCCTCCAGGTCCTCCAGAGGCAGGAGGTATCCTGCGGAGGACCATGAGTTGACGGATCAGAGACTGTCCGACGAAGAGGATGTATCTCCAGATTCTCCTCCGTTTGTAGGCCTGTTTTGTCCATTCTTATTCAAGACGCTGCTACATAAAGCCAGTGGCACTGCAAATATCAAGAGGCCCCCAATTCCTCAGAAAGGAACCTCCACCAATCTTTCAACTAGTAAGGTCACAAACAACAAAGTGTTTTCACAGCCCACCTATACCCAACACTTTGTCCCCTGTCCACCTCTCTTCTTTGATTCTGCTCAGAACAACATGCGGGCACCGGGCTCCTTCCTCCCAATGGGGGGGCCAGACAAGAAAATGTTCAACATAGATCCGGCACTATCAGAGATAATAGAAGTGCCAACAATAGATGAACCCATTGCAACCCTCTTTTCTCCACCCCCGATAGCCGGGGATGCAGCGGAGGCCCTGAAATCAGAAGACAAGAAGATGGACCTCATTTTCCGCAGGGCACACCAGGCCTTGGCGTGGGCAATCAAGGCAGGCATCACTACGTCCTTTTTCGTCAGGACATCTTTGGCTGCGCCAACTCCAGTCGAGTATTCCCCCAGTGGAGGAGAAAACTCACCAGAATTTAAGAAGGTTAGTGGCAGCAGCGGAGCTCATGTCAGATTCCTCCTTACATGCAACCAATTTCTCTGTCAGAATAATAGCGTACAACACTGGTGCATGCAGATTGCTGTGGCTCAAGCATTGGAGAGCGGACATGAAGGCTAAGTGGTGTTTAGCGGCGGCACCCTATAAGGGCGGCCGGCTCTTTGGCGAGGCGCTTGACCCTTATCTAATTGAAAATAAGGACAAACGCAAGATCCTGGCCCACCTGACAAAGAGGATGGAGAGGAGAGCTCCCTCCTATTCCTGCAGACCGTCCTTCTGACCTGATGCAGGCATGGATCAGGGGGCCTTTTCCCATCCCTATCAGCCCAGATCGTACTGTCAAGGTGAGAGAAATAATAACAGGGACAGGTTCAGACAACAGGCTCAAGCAAGGCGGCCCTTTCGAGGAGCTGGGGGGCATCCCTACCGCAGATCCAAGTGACGGCCCAGGGGGCTCCCCCATTGGTGGCTGGCTAGCCCCTTTTGCTCACAAATGACAAGCCACCACCATGGACCTCTGGGTCCTAAATACCATCAGATTCGGCCTATCTCTAGAATTCCTCTCAACACCCCCGAACCGGTTCATTCCTTGCCCATCTCCAAAAGATCTGATCAAGAAGAACCTCACCAAGGAGGCCATCCAACACCTCCTGGACATTCAGCCTATAGAACTGGTAGAAAGAGATCAGTGGGGACAAAGATTCTATTCCATCTTATTCATAGTCCCAAAGAATTCGGGGGTGTGTGTGGAGAGCAAGACTAGACCTAAAGAGTCTGAATAGACACCTGGAGTACAAAAAATTCAAAATCCAAACCCTTCACTCGATATTAGCAAGCATCAGGAAGGGGGACCTTCTGACGTCCATAGATCTGACAGAGGCCTACCTTCACATTCCCATACTTCCGGACCACCGGAGGTTCCTCAGGTTCTACCACACGGGTCAACACTTCCAATACAGGGCCCTACCTTTTGGACTTTCTTCAGCTCCCAGGGTGTTCACAAAGGTATTGGCAACAATCGCCGCGGACTTGAGAACAATTCCGATGCGCATCCAATGCTATCTGGACGACATTCTCATCCAATCCTCATAGGTCCAGACAGCACAGTCAGACCTGGCACTGACTCTGAAAACCCTTCAAGACCACGGTTCTCAGTAAATTTTCAGAAGAGTCAGACCGTTCCCTCAAACCATCTTCATCTGGGAGTGGACAAAGACATACAAAAATGCACGGTCCATCTTTCTCAGGACCGTCAATGCAGCATTTGAACCCTGGTCAGGCTCATCCGAAGGAAGCAATCCTCAACGCTGGCTACACTCTCACAACTGCTAGGAAAGATGGTGTCATGCCTCGCAATCGTACCTTGGGCAAGGCTACACT